AAATTTATCTTATAGATTTACTTGCACACACCAATGACATATGTACAAGTATTATTTGTAGTAGGAAAAGACTGAAAAAAACATAAATATCCATCAATAGGACACTGATTGAATAAATTATAGTACATCTCTTCAAAGGAATAGCATGCATTTAATATGAGAAAATCTCCAATATGTGGAAAGAAAGAGCAAAGTGTAGAACTGCAGGTACAGGACTAGTATGTTACTTTTTGTGTAGGGATGGGGGAGTAACACACATACACATAGGAAAATCTGGTAGGCATACACAACATTAATAGCAGTTAATAGCAGTGGGAAGGGATCGGTCAGGTGGGAGACAGAGTTAAGAGGGGGGCTTTTTCCTGTTACATGATTGCATTTATATTGCAAGTTGTAAATCTTTGGTAACAACCTGGTTATTTTGGTCCTTAATATTCCCTAATCCAAAGATTATATTAAAATACTCCTTATTAATGTACTATGTGCTAGGCACTTGGGAAATAAATGTGAAAGTAGTGATGGAGTGAAAATGCCATTGACTTCGAAGTTAAAAATGCCTGACTCAAATTCTGACTCTGCTTCTCACTAGTTATGGGTCTTGACACATAGTACACATTCAAGGAATACTTGAATGAATTTATGGTTGAAGTTACTTAATCTTTCTGAGTCTGTTTCCTCCCTTATAAATATGCTTCTTATCTCACAGGGGTATCATAAAGACAAATGATAAAATGTGTCATCAATTCCAGTAACAGTTAATGCTAACTACCCTATGCTAGGCACTTTCACATCCATCATTTCTTGCCTCCTCTCAGTTATTCACCAACTCACGCATGAGGAAATAGAAGGATTGAGAGGAACAGTGACCTGCCCAGGGTTTCTCTGGGTGTGAGTTGTCTCCTGGTCTTTCTTTATTGCTACTTCCCCCACGATGCACCCACCATGAAGTAGGTGCATCAGGGAATATTGAAAATCAAGAACAACCAAAGCAAGTGTTACCACGGTTATCAGTGACACCCCAGAGTAGTAAAAAGTCAGTAAATGCATTTCTGACAATTCAATTTATAAATAAATGTACCAGTTGGCCTGTTTGACATTCACTGCACTAAGCACTTTGGGGAAATCCAACAAAAATAAAAAGTGTGTGCTTCTAATGAGTTAGGGAAGATAAAAGCTAAGCTATAAAAATACTTGCAAGGAAAATGTAGAAACTCATTCTTAAGTAAAATGCACTTAGCTTGCAGACTTGCCAACAGCCCTTTCTCAGGGGATGAAAACGATACAAAATATACTCAACAAGGCACAATTTAGAAATTTTTTATAATATTAGAGTAAAACATACATGCAGAGCAGTGCAAACCAATTAAGTTTTTATAAAGTGAGGGACAGCTAATTTTTATAAAATAGGACACTTCTATGGAACCAGCACCTGGATCGAGAAATAGAATACAGGCAGACCTCGTTTTATTGCACTTCGCTTTATTGTTTCAGCGATGTGTGGGTATTTTTTGTTTCTTTGTTTGCTTTTACAAATTGGAGGCAAGACTTTCTACAGGCAAAAAGGTTATGGCTCACTTTTTTGATACTCACTTTATTGTGATGGTCTGGAACCAAGCCCATAATATTTTAAAAATATTTTTTACTAATTTTTACAGAGAGGAAGGGAAAGGCATAGTTAGAAACATCAATGAGAGGGAATCATTGATCAGCTGCCTCTTGCACACTCCCTACTGAGGATGTGCCCACAACCAAGGTACATGTCCTTGACTGGAATGGAACCTGGGACCCTTCAGTCCACAGGCTGACGCTCTATCCACTGAACCAAACTGGTTAGGGCAGCCACAACATTTTTGAGGTACAACTGTAGTACCAGCACCTAGATCCTAGGCCCTAGAATCCCCAAGGGTTCCCTTTCCATCACTATCACCCTCAAGATAACCACTATTTTCACCTTTAATATCATAGATATGTACCCATTTGTGTCCAGCTTCTTTCACTCAACATCATATTTGTGACAGTTGTGCATCTTGTTGAGTGTAGATGTCATTTTTCTTACCATATAGTATTCCACACAATTTATTTCTCTTCTGTAGATGGACACCTGGGTTCTTTCCTTTGGGCTGTTACAAAGAGAGATGCTATAAACATTTTGAACATGTCTTTGGAGAATATGTGCATACATCTCTATTGGGTGTATACCTAGGGAGGGGATTATTACTATAAAGTCACAGGCTGCCTGTTCATTTGGCATTAATAGATAATGCGAAGCAGGTTTCTAAAGTGTTATGCAAGTTCTCTAAATTTTAGCCAGTCTGGTGGGTGAAATCACATTGCAACTCCAATGTGCAATTCTGGGATGATTAATAATTGGGAACTTTTTCATATGTTTGTTGGCTTTTTAAAGAAATCCGACTTATTCCTCTGGAGAAATGCCTGTTGAAATATTCTGGCAATTTCTATTGGGTTTTCTGCCTTGTTCTTGCTGATTTGTAAGTGTTCTTTATAGGTTCTGCATACAAGTTCGGTTTTGGATATGTTGCAATTATCTTTTCTCTGTGGCTTGCCTTTTCACTGATGGTGTCTAGATGAACAGGAAGGAGTTCTTAATCTAAATGCTGTCCAATGATCTGTTTTTTCCTCTATAGTTAGTACTAAATGTGCTTTAAAAATCTTTGCCTACCTCAAGGTCATGAGGATATATATATTTTTTTATATTTACTTCTGATAGTTTCATTGTTTTATCTTTTACATGTAGATTTGAAATCCATGTGGAATTGATTTTTTTGGTATGGTATGCGGTAGGGGTCAAGCTTCTCCTTTTTTTTTTTTTTCTCTTCATGTGGGCGTTCCAGTTGATCCAGCATCATTCACTGAAAAGATAGACCATCCTTTCCCAGTGCATCACAACAGCATCTTTGACATACGTCAAGGACACAAAATGTAGATCTGTTTCTGAACTCTTTTTTTTTTTAAAAGCAAACTTTTAATTTAAATTTTTATTTATTGTCTAATGTTTTACATATGTCTCCTTTTCCCCCCCCGCTTAGTGCCCCTCCCTCCCCCTTAGCCATTCTCACCGTGGGCAAGCCCCCACTGCCCCAGTGTCTGTGTCCATTGGTTATGCTAATATGCATGTAAACAAGTCCTTTGGTTGCTCTCTAACCCCCCTACCCTGCCATTTATCTCTGGATCTATTCTTGTTCATCAAATTATGTTGACCATTATATCCCACAAATGAGTGAGATCATGTGATATTTATCTTTCTCCGACTGGCTTATTTCACTTACCATAGCAATTAAATGCTCTCCAGGACTGCCCATGCTGTTGCAAATGGTAAACATTTCTTCTTTTTTACAGCAGCATAGTACTCCATTGTGTAGATGTACCACTGTTCTCTAATCCATTCATCTGCTGACGGGCACTTAGGCTGTTTCCAAATTTTAGCTATGGTGAATTGTGCTGCTATGAACATAGGGTTGCATATATCCTTTCTGATTGGTGTTTCTAGTTTCTTCGGATATAGTCCTAGAAGTGGGTGAATTCTCTGTTCTGTTGGCCAGAGAGTAAGTTTATCCTTGTTGCCAATTACTATTTCAAATACTTTATAATAGGTGCTGGTGTCTGATATGGAAGTCCTCCAGTTGGCTCTAATTTTTCACCCCACCAAGCCAACTAGTACCCCGTTTACCTCCCACCTCGCTTTCAATATATCCAGGCGGGTGTGATGGATTTGCCTGCTCTGATGGCTTGGTTATTTGTGGTTACCTGGATCTTTAGCCCATCAAAGGCTTTTCCACTGAGAGCCAGCCAGGTGTCTGCAGCCAAACAAAGCCGATCTGCCGGGTAATTAAATAACGCGGGGCAGGGGGAGGAGTGGGCTAGGCGGGGCTGTCTACCCAGAGGGGTACCGTGAGGAAGCCATCTCTCTGCACTTGAGGACTGACTTCTGGGGGGAAATACCAGGAGGGCTAAACTCTAAAAACCCCCGGCAGAGAAGTGCCAGGCGAGGTCACCGCCTGGGAAAGTCGCAGGGGGTTCCGCCGGGGCCAGGCTCCGCGGGCGGTGCGGCAGGGTGGGGCCGCGAAGCCTCAGATCGCCAGCTGAGGGCCCGCGTGCGCCCGGCTCAGAGCGGCGCCTGCAGCTGCCGCGGCGGGAGGAGCCGGGGCCGCAGCGCCGGGGCAGGGACACGGGCGAGCGGTGCAGGCTTCTCGGCGGGCGCGCCCCGCAGGCCATGAGCTCCGGGAGCGGCCGCGGCGCGGGGCCGGCGGGGCCCGGCGTCTGAGTCCCCGCGGGAGGCACGGGCGCCGCGCGGCGCGGGGAGGTGAGTCCGCTGCGCCTCCGGGGGTGCCTGGTTCCTCCCAGGAGGACGGGCGGGACGTGCGTTGGGAAAGTTTGGGCGGCAGGGAAAACGGCCGGCGCTCCCACCTCACCCCATTCCCACCCCGACTCCCCAGCTGCGCTGGCGTCCGGGGTGCGGAGTGGCCGGAGCGGGGACCGGACTCGCGCCCTGGGGGGCTCGGAACCGGCTGGGATTCGCCCAGTGGCCGCGGCGGGAGGCGGGCGAGCATCTCTGCTCCTGGCGCTTCTGGGGCATCTTCCCGGGCGCCGGGACCAAGCCTTCCCAGGCTGCTCGGCCAGCCGCCCTCCCCGTCCCGTCCCTCTGCCCGGGGGCCGGCGCGGGTCCGGGGACGCGGGACCCGGGGGCTCCGCTGGGAGCACTGGCTTGGAGGAGGCGAGTTACTCAACTTAATCTCTCATTGCAAAGTTTGCAAAGAAAGCGAAGGAGCCTGCCGTGTAACTGTGGACATCTCCCTCCCTCCCTTCCTTTGTTGAGAAAGAATGAATAGTTGGTTGTATTGCTCCCTCTGCGTCGAAGAGGCGAGGGGGGGAGAGGAAGGGAGGGGAGGTGGGGAAGGGAGGGAAGGACGGTGGGAGCTACAGGAAGGAGGTTGCTATCAAACCATCTTTCCTTAGGGGCTTAGGCTGCCAGCACTTTAAAAGTTTGATCAGGTGTAGCCACTCACTCGTCTGGGAGGGATCCAGGGAGCTGGGAGGCAGCTGGAGAGGCGCCTGTTCCGCGGGGATCGCGGCGGGTCGCGGCCGGGACTCGGAGGAGGCGGAAAAGTCTGGGTTTTGGTGTTAACTCGACTGAAGCAAGGTGCGAAGGGGGAAGACCAGCGCTTGCGTCTGCTTCAACCTAAAGTCAGGAGAGAGAGAGAATGAGCCAGGCATTCAGAGATTCCTTCAAACCTTGACTCTTATCTTCCAAGGCTACGCAGATCTCCCCCAGGAAAATACAGCGGCGGAGGGAAGGTCAGTTTGAGGGAATAATCTCCCTGCGTGTTGCCAAGGACTGGGAGGAATGGGGGGAAGGGGGGCGGAGGGGGGGGTGCTTTCCGTGCTGGAGGCTGAGCTCACAGAGTGGGGTCTGAAGTGGGAGAGGCTCCCCATAAATCGAGGGGAGGCCACAGAGCACGCGGTTGTGAGGGGGTATATGGCGCATAAAGTAAATAACTTGCCATGCCAAGGGCTCCCCCTCGGCACCCCCCCCCCCACCTTTCCCCCAACTGCTGCTAAGCCTGGCATTTCCAGGATGACTAACCAAGATCTTGATCTCCCCCAGTTCATGTAGAGGACTGCTTGTCCAGCGCTAATCCCAACCTTATCATGTAAATCCTGTGCCGTGGTGCTTGAAATACAACCCAGGGGAGAATTATTCACACTTCAATCATTTGGCTAGACTTCATTGAGTTTACTTCAGAAATAAAGGCACACTCTTAATATCTAAACTCAAACTTCACATTCGGTGGATAAGCCGCTTTATCTGTGCAGTTGTTCAATCTCCTCTTCCTGTATGACTCTGCAGAGAAGATATAAAAGTACATATTCAAATTGTAAATTCTCTGCCAAGGTGGAAGCCGGCTTCATTTCCAGAGTTTAAAATATACACAATTCTGGTCCTGGCCAGTGTGCTTAGTGGTTCTCTGAGCTATGTACAATACGTGTATATATAGACACGCACCAAAGGGTCTTGGGTTTGATTCCCAGCCAAGGGCATGTATCTGGGTTATGGTTTCACTCCCTGCCCCCTGTGGGGGCACCTGCAGGAGGCAACCAGTTGTGTCTCTCTCACATCTATGTTTTTCTCTCTCTAACCCTTCCACTTCTTCTGAAAAAGCAATGAAAAAATATTCTCAGGTAAGAATTAACTATATCCGTGGTCAGCAAACTGCTACTCACAAGTCACATGTGGCTCTTTGGCCCCTTGAGTGTGGCTCTTCCACAAAATACCACGGCCTGGGCAAGTCTATTTTGAAGAAGTGGCGTTAGAAGAACTTTAAGTTTAAAAATTTGGCTCTCAAAAGAAATTTCAATCGTAGTACTGTTGATATTTGGCTCTGTTGACTAATGAGTTTGCCGACCACTGAGCTATATACATGTATATATAGACACATTCCTAAAGCCCATATCAGATGACCATCTATGAGTATGACTTGGAAATATCTCATATTAGAAGTAAAATAGAAAAATCCAAGTAAAATAGGAAAATTCAAGAATGTGAGCTGCTTATCTCTGCCTTGATTCCATGTGATCATCAGTTTCTTTGACATATCGTGGTAAAGCAAGTGAGTCAGGCTGCTATTTACAAGTATTTCAAAGCACAGCCAAATAGGGAGCTTGTCAGGCTTGCTCATGTCCCTACTGAGATTTCAGCTCTTTGAACATTCACATGAGTCTCATTTTCATATCAAGATATAGAGTGTTTGACCTTTGTATAGTCATGCACCACTTGACAGCGATGCGTACTGGGAAATGCATTGTTAGGTGATTTTATCATTGTGGGAACATCATATAATGCACTTACACAAACCTATACAGTATAGCCTACTTTACACCTTGGCTATAGGATAGCCTATTGCTCCTGGACCTATACAGCATGTTACTGTACTGAATACTATAGGCAGTTGTAACAAAATGTTAAGTATTTATGTATCTAACATAAGAAAGGTACAGTAAAAATACAGTATAAAAGTGATCCACCATTCATGGTAAGGGTCCTGTCCTTACTTGCAGGACTGAAGTTGTTCTGGGCGAGCCAATGAGTGACTGGTGAGAGGATGTGAAGGCTTAGGACATTACTGACACAACTGTAGACTTACACTTTACACTTAGGCAACACTAAATTTATAAAACAACACAAGATTAAACCAAGTGCACAAGAAGATGATGTAATCAAGAGACGGAGTAAGCATAAGATGTATAGGCTATGCTGGTGTAACATGGTATTCTGTTTTACAGCAAATTTAGGTTTTTAATAGGTGGAAAGAGTACACTTTATTTTTATTTTTTATTTTATTTTTAAAAAATATATTTTATTGATTTTTTAACAGAGAGGAAGGGAGAGAGAGAGAGAGAGCTAGAAATGTCAACGAGTGAGAGACATCGACCAGCTGCCTCTTGCACACCCCCTACTGGGGATGTGCCCGCAACCAATGTACATGCCCTTGTCCGGAATCGAACCTGGGACCTTTCAGTTCACAGACTGACGCTCTACCACTGAGCCAAACCAGTTTTGGCAAGAGTACACTTTAAAACTATAGCACATAATTGTATGTTCTATGCTTTTATATGACTAGCAGAACAGTAGGCCTGTTTACACCAGATCAACATAAGCATGTGAGTAACATGTTGCCTGATGGCTACTATATCACTAGGCGATGGGGATTTTTTTTAGCTCCATTATAATCTTACTAGAGGCCTGGTTCATGAAATTCATGCATTGAGGGGCGGGGGGTGTCCCTCAGCCCAGCCTGTACCCTCTCCAATCTGGAACTGCTGGCTCCTAACCACTCGCCTGCCTGGCTGCCTAATAGCCCCTAACCACTCCCCTGCTGGTCTGATTGATACCTAACTGCTCCCCTGCTGGCCAGATTACCCCCAACTGCCCTCCTCTGCAGGCCTGGCTTCCTCCCCTCCCCCCCACTACTCTCCCCTGCAAGCATGGTCACCCCCAACTGCCCTTCCCTGCAGGCCCAATCACCCCTAACTACCCTCCCCTGCAGGCCTGGTCCCCTCCCCCCCCAATTGCCTTCCCCTACAGGCTAGATCACCCCCACCTGCCTTCCCCTGCAGGCCTGGTCCCCCCCAACTGTCCTCCCCTGCTGACCACCTTGTGACAATGTAGGGGCGGCCATTTCATGACAACGTGGGGTGGGCCATCTTGTGATGATGTGGGGGTAGCCATCTTGTGACAACGTGGGCGGCCATATTGTGATGCAAGGGTGTGAGGGTCAATTTGGATATTACCTGTTTATTTATAGGATGGGAACACTGTGATGTATGTGGCCCATCACTGGCTGAACTGTCATTATAAGTATTTCAAGACCTAGCATCAGACTGTGTCAGGACACTGTGTCTGTTTGCTTGAACAATGGAGAGAGGTGAAGTCTGGTGGCCAAAGTCTCCCCTGGGCTTTTCTTTTAAAGACTGCAAACTTGCTTGCTTGGTGTGCCTGTGTGTGTGTGTCTGTCTACGTTCTGCTTGGTTTGGTGTGTTTACATCTATTGCTTCAGGTTAAAATATTTCCCTCCTCATCCTTCCTGCCCAGGCTTCCCCAGAAGTGGTGGCTTCATTTGTGAACTCTCATTGTACCAGAGATACCATGACAACAAGACAGACATGGCCCCTGCCCTGCCTGGAGGAGACCTGCTATGTATCGAGTGCTTGCTATATGTCAGGGCTTTCCATACATGACTACCTTTACTTTTCACAACAACCCCATGAAATAGTTATTGTTAATTCAATTTTACAAATGAGAAACTCAGAGAAGGTGAGTAGCTTGCCCCCGGCTATGCAGCTAGGAAGTCAATGGCAGAGTAGGGATTTGAGTGTCTGACTCCAAAGCAAGCCTAGGTTCTGAGTCAGACCATGTTTGATTTTTAAAAATCAAATAGTATATAAGAATCACATAATGACTAGAAACATCAAGACAGAAATATCTCCAAGTGGAGAAAACATGGAGCCAGAGGCTGGAGACTTGACCTAGTTAGTCTCCTCAGTGCTCTTCCAACCATGTGTTCCCGCCTCAAGCCTTCACATGTGCAGAAGCCTCCACCTGCCACGCCATTCTGCTCTGCTCTTCATTGGTTCCTTTTCTCTCTCTCTCTCTCTCTCTCTCTCTCCAGGTCTTATGTCGTTGTTTCCTTTTCAGAGAGGTCTTCCCAGACTATCCTAATCTGAAATAGCTATCCATCCCCAGCCAGTATGTTCTATCATTTCACTGTTTTTGCGTTCTTTAGTGCCCTTGTGACTAGGATATGACCTAGTGTGTTTTCTTATCTGTTTTGGTTGGACACCCCATCACAGTAGGCTCTTGTCTAGTTTATTATATCCTCTGCATTGTACATTGTAAACCGCCAGAGATTATATACAATATTTTGAATGAATGAACATGTATTTGCTTATCGGGAACAAGGATGGGGCTTGGTTCTGAGATCCCATCTACATATAACACGCTGAGATTCTGCATAGCGATCACATGTGGTAAGTGGCTTCTCTGTCAAAACAGAAAGCACTCAACCTTGAACCTAGATTCAAACTACACACCATGCACTTCTATCCCTTGGATTTTCCCCTGGGGTCCTGGAATCTGGAAAAATGAAAAGTAAGTAAAGCTCAAGTAAGAAATAGAGCAACCCGAAGGTTGCACATGAGCTCCTCCCACCCATACTTCCCCTTCCACCTCCCGTCCCACTTTCCACTTTGTTTTATTTTCAAGGCTGTTTCCCGGCTGGGCCCACCTCCCCCACCATTGGACTGATTCAAACTTGACACAGGGCCCAGAGTTGAGACAATCTTTCCAAGTGACTAGACACAGGACAAGGCTGTATTTTAATGGGGAAGAGTTCCAATTTGGAGGCAGGAGTTGTAAAGGAGAGCTTGGCCTGTGATTTTTCAATTTGTCTGCAGCTGAGAACTCTCAGGAAACTTCAGCTTGAATGACCTTCTCCTTCCAGTTGTTAACCTCAGGTCTGCTTTATACCCTCAGGTCAGCAGCCCCTCATGGAAGTTTTCCCAGGGCCGCTAGAGCCGGGTCCCCACTTTTTGCGCCCCCGTAGCACTGGGGATCACCAACAGGGGCCATTGCTTCCTCCGTAGAGTAGTAACCTCATGAGGATCGTTGACGCTGTCCCATACCCGGCACAGTGCTCACCGCAGAAATAAGTGTTAAATAGAAGAATGAATGAACGTTTCTTTTGACTGAATCATACTTCCTCATTGTCGTTCTCCTCTGTCATCCAGGTGAAAATATCTGGGTATAAGTTGCTCTGTACCCAGAGACTCACTCATCCAGTGACTGTCCACCCTGCCTCCACAGTGGCCAATATGGAGGCAGACTCTGCCAGGGTCTTACCCACTGAGGTTCTGATTCCATTGGTCTGGTTCACCTCAGGGTGTTGGGGTTTTAAAAGCTTTCTGGAGGCTTCTTAATGTGCAGCTAGTAAAGGACCACCGCTGTTCATTTTCAGGACTCATTCCTTGCTTTGGTCCTTACAGGCTTGAAGCCGCCACGGGGAGAGAGAGCAGGGATATAATTCATGGATATTGTATGGTTCCTGATAGTTTAAGAGGTGCTTTCACATCTGTTATCACATCTGATAATAACAAGCTAAGGGATCTTCTCCCTGGTTTAAATATTCCCTTTATGTTGATGACCCTTAAAAATCTACATCCTGTCCTGGCTCCTAACTGCACATGCCAGTATCTACCCTCTACCAAACTGCCCTGCGGGGACCTCACACAGAACAGCTCCAGTGCTGAGCTTGTTACCCACCTTCCTGCGGGGGCCCCTTCTTCCCTGTTGTGTGACAGCATCGCACCATCGTTCCAGGGCAGTGGCCCCTCAACCAGAGGCCTTGAGCTCCCAGCTCTCCACTCTGCCCCTCCTTTCCCTTCCCCTGGCCCCTGCCCCAGCCAAGTTCTTCATTGTGTTCCGTGCTGGCTTGTTGCCACCAGCTGGACTGACTTCTGCCTCCCTCCTCTCCCCTCCTTCAGAATTACCAGCCACTGGCTGGCATCTGTCCTTCCCTTCCAGATTCCCCCCCAGAGCTTACTGTCAAGTGCAGACACCTTGACAAAGCCTTTGAGAATCAAACTCTGCCCCCAAGCTGTGCTCATTCCAGAAGATGCTTCTCGTCCTCTCCGCTCCAGTGCCACCAGTGACTTGCAGTTTCCTGAGCCTGTGGGGCCTTCCTGCCTTTATGCATCTGCCCTTACAGCGTCTTCTTGGAAGGCTTTTGCTTGCAATCTTCCACCTTTCACAACCCTTTCTCTTCAGAGAGGCCCTTTCTGAGATCCTCTGTGAATCCTTTTATCAGAATTAACTGGTCTTCATAGGATTTCATTCCTATGTGGGATGTAAAATAGCAACAGCCCAGCCAGTGTTGCTCAGTGGTTGAGCTTTGGCCTATGAACCAGGAGGGCACAGTTCAATTCCAAATTAGGGCACACGCCCAGGTTGGGGGCTTGATCCCCAGTAGGGTGTATGCAGGAGGCAGTTGATCAATGATTATCTCTCATCATTTATGTTTTTATCTCTCTTCCTCTCCCTTCCTCTCTGAAATCAAGAAAAAGTGTTTAAAATAAAACAGAAAGCAACAAATGGACAAACACAAACTCATAGTCACAGACAATAGTATGGTGGTTACCAATGGATGAGGGAATGGTAAAGAGTAAAGGAGGTCAAATAGAGGGTGACGGAAGAAGATTTGACTTGGGGTGGTAAACACATAATTGAATATACAGGTGATGTATCACAGAAATGAAAAGTCTATAATTTTATTAACCCATGTCTCCCAATAAATTTAATTAAAAAAAAGTAACCGTTCTTCCCTTCAGCATGTTAAGGGCCCCTATTGATGAGTCCCTGTCGATGTCCCTATATTATTCTCTCTCAGGGTCTGGGGCTTACGACTCTGTTTCTCTGAGTATCTTATAGGCACGGACATGTTTGCTGAATTGAAAGTAGAAGGGGCAGCTGTTAATATCCCTCTATCGCCAAGAATAAACGGAGTGTGGGGCATTCTCGCACACTTTGGCTCAATCTTGAAATCTAGAAGGTCGTGGTAGACAGAGAGGAAACAGGCTGCCAGAAGCACTGGCGCCAGAGCAGCTCCCGCCCATCACACGAGCCTGGAAGTAGAGTTGGCCGGCCGTGTGGCCCTTCGCACACAGGGATTCTGTGGCTGCACAGGCCTCCCCGCAGGCTCTTTGAAACGATGCAGGCCTGTCCGGAGAAAGCAGGGGCTGATAGCTCCGACAGGTGAGCGTGCACAGCTGTGGGGTCTGTGTGCAGGGCGAGGGAACCCTTGTCAGTTTACGTCACTGGTGGTCGGGCAGGGAGGGCTAGGGAGTTTGGTTTCTTTTTTAATAATGATGATTAATGTGGAGCAAGTGCTGACAGTGTGCCAGGCACCAGTCAGCCCCGGGCGGGGCCCCCAGGGGAAGGGTCCGCACCGGTCTATTGTTCTGCGCCCGCTATGAGCCAGGCCTCCTGTGTGGTCCTAGTTAGACATGGAGCAGACAGGCCCCAGAATTACCAGGTTTAGCAGAGAGCTGAGGCCCGGGTTAGGAGGATGTGATTTGAGTGAGCGGTCTCCTTCCACAGCCCCCAGCACTCACAGGCCTCTCTCTGTTGCACACAGAAGCTGTGGACCCTGTGCTTTTGTTGTCAGTTGTAATCTTTGCACGTTCTGCCCCTTCACCTCTTGCACTGGGAGATTCTGGAGGGCTGTGTTCCTGGTGGTCGTCCAGCCATGTCCCAAACCCCCATTCCTCTGTGGAACTGACTCGGCAGAGGTTCTGTGAAGGGACCATGATCGCTTGGAGCTGTGGGGAGAGCTGTCTGTGCGGAGCTGGGGCTGCCGGGTTCGAGAGGAGACTGCAGAGCGAGGGGCGGCTCTGCTGACCAGCCTCGCAGAGGCCCGGGCATCGGGCTTAGCCGTGCTGCTTCGGCCACACCAGGCTGATGGCATGACTGATGGGACAGGCTGGATCCTTAGGACTCTAGGGACTGGCCCTAATTTTCCTTCAGGCCTGTGTTTCTTTTCCTCAAACGTTGGCTTTAAAAATGTCATATAATTTGGCTTAGGCCAATACCATCATTTGTTTTGGGGCGTTGGGGGTGCTGACTCTCTCAGGGAAAACATTTTTACTAGTGGTCAAAACTGGGAACAATTGTCGGGGCTGCTTTTGCATATAACCTCAGGTATCATTTTCCTTTTCTTCCCATACCTCCCTTTTTATTTTTATTTTTATTTTTCTCTTCCCTGATTATGCAGACACCCATGCTCATTGCTTACCCTGCCAGTGGCAGGCGGGTCCTGACCCCTCTCCTTGGGGGACGGTGTACATGGAGCCCCCACTCAGGGGCTTCCCTCCGCAGCTGAGCCCACTGCTGTAGGGAGCAGTAGCCACCTCCTGACCCCTGACCCTGGCCTGTCTTCGTTAATTAGAGCACATTGATTTATTTATAAGCACCAGGTCGTTGACAGGAAAATTGCCCCGCTGCTGTGGGTAGCACAAGTGAGGGGCTGGTCTGGCACTGCGGGAGTCCCAGCAGCTGAGGAATTCCAACAATCTCCGCCTGTCCTCACCGGGCCAGGGTGGCGGGAAGACGTGAGCTGGTTATCTGACGTATCTGCGGCATTTTCTGTAATGCACTTGGTACTGAAACCTTGAGTCCCTCCTCAATGAACTTTTCGTTTAGTCATGCATTTCCATCAGCTTCAGTCGCCTGAAATAATAAAACAGCTCATGGGCCTCCAGAGCCTCTGAAGTGTTTGCCCTTTTCCACGGGCCGACCTGCTGCCAACCCAGGAGAATTCCTCTGTCATATCAAAAAAGGACATGAGTAAACTTCCTGTTTGTATTAAATTTCGCTCGTAGTGCCATTCAGTGTTTGTCTTGGTAATGCCCTGGACATTTTCTTTTGTTAACGTGGTATATTTCCATTTCCTCTCATCAGTCGGAAGCCGGTTCTTGGGATTATCTTAGATTCAAACCTTCACTCCTTTCATTTCCCTTCAGAGCAGAGAAGCATGGCTGCGGGGAAATTCGCGAGCCTTCCCAGAAACATGTCGGTGAATCACCAGTTTCCCCTGGCCTCGTCCATGGACCTCCTGAGCAGCAAGTCTCCTCTCGCCGATCACCGCACAGATGCCTATCAGGACGTGTCCATACACGGCACCCTGCCACGGAAGAAGAAAGGGCCTCCTCCTCTCAGGTCCTGTGACGGCTTCAGTCACGCGGGCACCCTGCCCCATTCCAGATCCCCGTGGCACAACCCACCCCTGAGCCAGGACATCATCCAGGAGCACCCGCGGCCGGACTGGAAGGGCGACGTCTTCACCTCCAGGTAACGTCTTACCTTTCGTGAGGGGAAATGACTTGTCTTAAATAGCTTTTCAAAAAGTCATCTTCTGAGGGGAAATGTCAAACAGGTACAAAGGAGAGCAAGTAGTTGAATGAACTTCCATGGGCCCCATCACCCAGCTTCAACAGTTATCAACTCATGGCTAGCTCTGCTGTTTCCCCACCCGCTTTCCTTCCTCTGGTATTATCAATATTTTGAAACAGATCTTAGACTTCATTTTATTTTATCTGTGGATATTTTGGTATGTGTCTTTTAGAGATAAGGACTTAACTTTAAAATATGTACATAATCATAATACATAATACATAAAAACTGTAACACCCCAAATGAGCCAATTTAAAAATATATATATTTATATTGATTTCAGAGAGGGAGGGAGAGGGGGAGAGAGAGAAAACACCAATGATAAGAATCATTGATTGGCTGCCTCCTACCCACACCCTACTGGGGATTAAGCCAGCAACCTGGGGCATGTGCCCTGACGGGAAATCGCATGGTGACCTGGTTCACATGTCAGCGCTTAACCACTGAGCCACACCTGCCAGGCAAATGAACCATTTTTAATATCATCTAATAATTAATGTATTTTCAAAGGCAACTTTCTAAATCATTGAGTCTCTGAAAGAGAAGCAGAAATTTGGTGTGTTTTTTTCTTATTATAACATCAGATTCTAAACTACATCCATCCAGTGCTAAAGAGATGTCAGGATGTCAATAAATTAGGACCTGTATCTCCTTGTATTTAGCTGTAATATGATGAAATAAATTTTTTTGTGGACGCATCATCGGGTCAGCTGCAGAATACGGTAGAATTTTTCTCCTTCCCACCAGGATGTGGGTAAATAAGCCTTATGATTGTAAAGGCTTCTCTCTGGGTTTGTAAGGAGCCTGGCTGCGGTCGGTTTCTGTTTGTTAGGAGCTCATTTGGAAACTGCACTCCTTTTCCTGTTGGAAGATAAGCACTCTGTGATGCTGCTGGGCAAAGACAGGGAGTGGTCTCTTCTCTTATATTTCCTGGTGTGTCTCCCTTTGTCCTGTCCTGTAGCAAAGAAGGCCACTTTGATCCTGGCTCATTGATTTGTTCGGTCTCTCTGCATTGAGTACCTACATTAATCACAGCACTCTGGTTTTATAAGTACCCGTGCTTCACCCGGAGAGCTCAGCCCAGCTCCTCTGGATATCTAACTGAAGGGCTGGTCCAACATTGAAGACATTCTAGCAGCCAAAATATTCCAGTAATCTGCTCTTGCCCTTCTACACGGCGGAGAAATATGTGAACTAACAGGATAGCTATGAGACATCTGAAACAGGTTCCTCCCAGAGCCCATAGTCTAGTGAGAGACCCCAGTAATAAATACAGCTAAGTAAACAGTATATTGCAGACAATAGTGAGTGTTACAGAGGAGATAGAGCAATACGCTGGAGGTAGATTGGGGCTGTGTCTGTCTTATAGGGACAGGTCTCTGAGAAGGTGATATTTAAGCTAAGGCCTGCACGATGAGAAGAAAGTGTGGAGAACCAGTGGCTGGCTGTCCCAGGTACAGGGAGAGCAAGTGCAAGGATCAGGGGGACAAGCTCAGGATATTTGAGAAACCCTAAACGAAGCTGGTGTGGCCTGTGGCTGGAGGGTAGCAAGTTGGGAGAGAACAGTATAGATGCTGGGAGAGAGGCAGGCAGGCAAGAGTGTAGAATTCGTTTTAGTGTTGCAGGAGTACAAGAAGAAATTAAGGAGAGGCCCAGGCATTCTCTGTAGAAAACACCAGAGAGCTCTGAAATGTTTCCCACATCAGACCAGAAGGCTCCCCAGGGAGAACCATTAGAAGGCCTGGTCTTGCTCCGATAAAACCTAGGTGGGCGACCTCCCCGCTCAGAGAGCCTGCTGATGAGAAGGTGAACGCGGAGGCCCCGCCTGTGCACAGCATCGCTCATGTCGCATCGTTGGGACGTAACAGGTGGGGTGCAGAGGGGGAGCCGTCCTTCCTCCCTCTTGTGGAGCTACGGGCAGCAAAGGAAAGTAACGTCTGGTCACCCCGAAAGAAGCACAAATGTCAGGCTCCACAATGTGGACTCGGAGCAAACTGTTACCCGGCTTCCTGTGGCCACTTTCTGTCTTTTAACTTAAACTTTATAGTGAGCTGGATATCTACTAATTAGCACACGCAGACAACTCACAAACTCATTTCTTTAAGTTCTAAGGTCCTGGCAGGGACACGCCGGGGGCCGGGGCGGTCACGGAGCCCCCCTTCAGCTCCTGAGGAAGTTCTTGGTAAACATCCAGGGTCCAGGTCGTCAACCTGCCAGGACTTCAAAGCTTTTTAATGGACAGCTGACTTGGACGGGAGGTCCCAGCTCTGTAAAAAGATCTAATCAGGGGACTGGGCGCAGGTCCTGAGTTTGAAGTCCGCGTGGTGGGAGACCTAGCAAGCACAGCTGGCGCGCGTTTGTTTATGACTCAGGGCTGCGTTCTTCTTAAGTCACATCTTTTTTCCTCAATTTAAAATATCTTGTGTTTGTGTGTGTGTGTGTGTGTGTGTGTGTGTTTTAATATTTTATTGATTTTTTACAGAGAGGAAGGGAGAGAGATAGAGAGCTAGAAACATCGATGAGAGAGAAACATTGACCAGCTGCCTCTTGCACACCCCCCACCGGGGGTGTGCCCGCAACCAACGTACATGTCCTTGTCCGGAATCGAACCTGGGACCTTTCAGTCCGCAGACCGACGCTCTACCACTGAGCCAAACCGGTTTCGGCTAAAATATCTCATTGTTAACGGCAAATACAGGAAGCAAGGAATGCCTATCTTTTACAATTATGCTGGACAGGCGTGTGGTTGTGTGTCAAAGGATCACAAAGTCCTATTCCCCACTCATCTGTCTCAGTGTTATTTTTAATGACCTAACACACATTGTTTTTCATCCTCAAAAGTGATCCCGATTTTGAGGAGTTTAAAGTTCCTTATTTTCTTCTTTTTTAATCCCTTTAAGTAATCCTAATAAGATTGTAAGCTGTCTCCATTCCTTCCAAGTCGTGATAGAAACAAAGCTTGTGCGTGTGAAAAATGGGAGACAAGCAGACGGAATGAGAACCCGGGTTCCAGGGAGAGGGGTCTGCCTAAGGTGCCACCCGGAGCTGCCGGGAGCGGGGACAGCTTTTCTGTCCTAACTCATCGCGTACAGCCGAGAAGGAGCTGTGACCCTCACCACCCGCTGCTCCAGCTCACTCAGCCCGGGAAGCTGGGAGCCACGTCTGCTTCAAAGTTAGAGTTTTGGATCTCTGTCTTCAGAGACCGAAGACTAGTTAGGTCTACCTATAATGGGAATATTGCTGTTTTACAGGGTTTGTTTTCTGTAAACTTTTTTGGCCTTACTTGCTTCTTTTCATAGTGAATGAAGGCATTAGTTTCATGACTTGCCTGGATGGCAGACGTGAACACCTCCCTCTGTGCCCCATTGGGTGCTGCCGTGAGGGTAGGGGGCCGTCACGAGGAGCCCGGACTCGCCCCTCAGGTGTGTCCGCCTCCATGCAGCGGGAGCGCTCCTAGCTGCACCCCTGGCCTGTGAATACTCTGAACACCCGTGTCTTTTATGTTGCTATGTATGTGGCTATGCAAGTTTGCTCTCTTCCCAACAGGAATGCTTACCTTATTAACCACCAAAAAGTCACTTTTATTATAATGGACTGTTAATTGACTCTCCATCCCATGAGATCCCGAGCAAAGCACAGGAAGTTTCCCCTTTGACCTAAACCTTTGTGTTGTCAAACTGCAATATAAACATGTCATGTTCGCGTGAGTTGTTATCTCTCCCACTTTATAGTTTAAAAATGTCTTAAAGCACATATCCATAGATTCTCTTGCTTGACCATCCTCACTCTGCGTGAGAGACACAGCAGATTTTATCATGATCGCGACGCCCGGGGCTCCGGCCTCCCCTGGGGAGAAGGAAGCCTGTCACCAGGAGCCGGGCAGCAGGCAGGCCCGGGAGGGGAGCTGGTCTCCTCACGCGGAGACTGTATCTCTTGGCTTTGCTGTTGTCTTGGCCGCCCTTGGATGTACTTGTGGTTTTGAAAGGTGGCCAACGCGAGGAGCCAGGGCGCTCTTAAACCTGCTGCTTGATGTCACAGAGGGAGCCTTTGTTCGCCGGCGGAGCAAGGCTCCTCCGACAGGTCTGCAGACAGGATTTCCTCTTGACATTAGCGTGGTTCGCTGGTATCCCTTTGATTCATTTATCTTCAAGGGTGAATTTTTATTGGAATCGGGGACCTCCCCTGGACGGAGAGGGCACCGGTTCCTGTGGCTGGGATAACTGAGGATCAAGGCTCAGAGATGTTCTGGGTCCCTTCCCGCCTGCGGGTACGCGGAGGCACACATTCCTGGGAACAGCTGCGGAGGGCCTGGTTCCCTCTGCCCCTTGGGCTGTGGGAGCATGTGGCCGGACAATGTGATGTTTCATTCATTTGCATGAATGGAGCTGACTGACTAGTCACAAGTGTTTTAACCGACAGGGGCCAGGAAGTCTGCAGAATTATCCCGAGTTAAAATCTGGTAGTAAGTAACCTACCATGTCAGCAAAGGAGTAAGCCGAAGCAGAGGAGTAAGGCACGGGATCTGTGCAAACGCTTCTCTAAACATGGATGTGCAAGCCTCGCTCTGGGCTGTGTCAGCCCTGTCATGCGGAAAATCATTTCATTTGTTCCTCTTCAGAGCTACCGAGTTCTATCACCACTGCTTTCTCCTCAACGAAGCAAGTTCCCCCAGAAGGCTCCATGCAAATAAATCAGTCTTTTGGGTCAGAGTTAATCAGAAGGATCTAAATGTGAAGGTCCACATGCAAGCACCTGCATTTTATTTGTACATGGGCATGTCTGCTCTCTGCAAATGGGAAGCGTTCCGTGAACAGAAGAAAAGTTGGGTTTAGAGTTGACAAAAGCCTATTTAATAGATTAATAGAAGGTCATCAAATGAATTAGCAGAATGGTAATGG